GATATGACTGGGGTGGCGCCGGCCTGGCTACCCTTTACTTTTATATGAGCGTGACCTCCCGCGGGCGGGGCGATTTACTTGGTGGCTACTGGAGAGCCTGGGAGGTACTTTTTGTCCCCTTGATTTGCATTTCTGCTTCTCATTACTTGTACATTGCACTCACAGCGTACTTTTACAGTCTGTATTTTGCTCTCAGCATTTTGTACTTACATTCTGCACTGCTTTTCTCAGCTATGGGTCTATGTATACTTCCCATCATTAGCCCCAGAGCTGGAGGTGGCAGGGATTCCCATGACCCCTTATTCATTGGTGTTCGAGGGCCCGCACCGGCCGAGACATCGAGAGACCCTCCTTTACCTGCGACATGCTGATTTGCTCTGTATATTCTCGATTTCTGATTGGTTTATGCATTTATCATCCGCAGATCACATGGCAGCCTTGGGCGCCCCTGGGTGATGGTCTCCGACTTCAGTATACCGGAGGATCGGTCATCTCCCAGTATAGGGTCCTGCTCGAAGGGCCGGTTGGTAGGGTATGGTTCCTGGGGGAACGCTTTCTGCGCCAGGTATGGGGGTATCTTTCTCAGGATCTTCCCGCAGTACCCCCAGCCAGTATGCGGACTGCTGACAGACTTTCTTACTCGGAGGTAGTCGGCGCCATGCTGGGTAGTGATGCTTTACTACATATTGAGGAGGGGGACTACGCCACTTACCGTCACATATATTTGATGCCTCCATTGACCGGAGCTCGTATTCCGATGATGAGGCCTGCCGGTATGTCATCCTCGGGCCAGGCTCGGGCTTGGGCTGCAGACGCTCCTTCTACTAGCAGGGCTGGTACATCTAGAGGTGGGAGTAGACCGGTTCCTCCGGTTCCATCGACTTATCCTCATCCTGGATGGCCAGATATGCCGACTGAGTTGATGGCGTGGCAGTATGGGGCCATCTCTCCTACCCCGATTCCACTAGAGCCTCCGATGCCCAGTGATCGATACGCCATTGATCCTGACTCACCGCTGGTATGCTTCACTATTTTTCATTCATCATTCAGATGTTTAGATATTCTTTTGTTCATTGATGATTATGAGCTCATATTTGCAGCCACATCGAGGGTATATGGAGGAGGTGGTTGGACTGGTGGCCACACTCGAGGGCATGGTCCTGCGTAGGGAGGCACAGTTGTCTGTCGCGGGCATTCAGGTACCCTTCAGTTTTCTGGCATTTATCATACTTCTGATGACATGCTGATTTCTACTGCATCGATAGACTACTTGTGTAGAGCACATCTGACACATACCCCACTTGTACACTGTGTTTACATGCACCCACTTCACGTAGCTTTTGCTTGTATCTACATTTGATGTATATATTTGGACTGATGTATTTGAATTGAACTCTTTATTTTCAGATGCCTTCATGGTCCGGTCAGCCGCAGGCCAGGCCACCTGGGCCTCCTTGGGGAGCTGGGTCATCTGGGCCTTTTCAGGGAGTTGGGTCACCCGGGCCTTTTCAGGGGGTGGGGCCATCTCGGCCTTCCCGAGGAGCCGGGCCATCTAGGCCTTTTCGAGGAGCTCGAGGAGGGCCTGTCTGCAGACGCAGGGCTCATGTTGTAGAGGTGGAGCCTGATGAGGAGGATGAGGATGCTGAGGAGGAGGAGGAGGCTACCGATCGTCAGTCAGAGACATCTGCTGAGGAGGGGGGCTCCGGTTTCGGCTCGGGGAATAGAGGCGAGGCTGAGGGGGATCCTGAGGATGACAGCTCCGACTCAGATGATGATGATGGTTCGGAGGTTGTCCCGCAGAAGAGGATGAGGAGCGCTTCTCGTTCCCGCTCCCGAGGACATTGATGCCGCTATTTCCGACTTTATTTTTCTTTTTGCTAGTAGTTTGTAGCACTTTGCACATTGTTAGGCAGTTTTGTTTTTTTTGTAAAACTTGTACCTTTGTTCATTGTAAAGTATGATCGAATGAAATAGCTTTTGAAAAGGTGTTTGTATTTTAAACTTTTAGCATCGTATCGCATCATTTTATTTCGCACAAAAAATGAATTTGAATGGGAATGCGCATTATAATCACCAAGTCAGGTAGTGAACCGATGCAATAAACTAAACAACTCAACTTACTAAGATATAACAGAACCTTAGGAAGTTTACAACTCGATAAGCAAAATGCAACAATATTGACAACGCAAATAAGCAAGACTTTAAACGAAGATTGCTTAAACAGAGCGCAATGACTCAAAAAAACACGAAATACGTCCGCTCGACAAACAACTCGATAAGCAAAACGACAACTCGATAATCAAAACAACAACTCGATAAACAGAACGACAACAGAGTGCACTTCGGACGATCTGGGCACCGGAACGCATCCGAAATGAAGGCCTTTGACTCTCCCGTTGCATGGGAATGCTTGAAACTTTCCTCAAAGGGTAAAACAGGGCCAGGGGGATACACTGCAGCATTGCCGGCCACCTGTAGACACCCCATTTTTGAC